AACGGCTACTCCAGAGATAGTATTTTACTCCCAAGATATTGGATATTACTCCGCTTAATTATTCAACACTAAAAGCCGAATGCCGCTGAACGAGATGAATATTCTGTTTTAGGTGAGCCAGGAGTTTGGTCTGGAATAATTTGAGCGTTCTGCTTTGGATGAGTCGAAGGTTTTATCATCAGAGAAGGTGTTATACTGGATATCAAATACATTTTCGTATAGGATGGTATGACGCTTTTGTTTTTGATGAGACGAGGGTTTTATAAACAAATTCACAACGTTTCTGTCATGGATATGTCATTGTGACAAGTCATTATCACCAGAGACACCACTATCCCAGTAAACTACCATATTACCAGCTCAGGAAATTTAATTAAACACATTATGTATCAACTACAGTTTACATCCAGTAGTGTCAAAAGCAGATCTAATTAACTTGTTCATATAGAATGTTGCAGTGGAATGGTTGGTACTGCGCCATCAACATGGCCAACCAAGTTGAATTCCCAGCCACAAATAACTTCAGTGGTCTGCGATCTGAACCAGTCTGGAGCCCGCACCTCACCACCACCTTTAACCTACACTGACCAGCGGATTGTGGTTTAGTCAAATAATCCCTACGACTCGCATCCTCATGCAGCAGTCCATTGACAACAGTGCTATGCATGTTCTGAAATTATATACGGTACTCGATATATCCTAGTTTGTTTTCCCTTGTAACCTCACTATCAATCTACATTTCTGCAACGGAAAGTGAAATATGTAGTGGGCGCTGCTAACATGGCCTAGCGGTAGGATCAGGCCTGTTTTTTTACAGAGGGTCACGGCTCGAATCGAGCGACCCCCGCCGTGATTAGTACTGCTGGTGTGAAAACCATCATGCGTGTCGTCTGCTTCACGGTCGACTACAGATTCCCCAATGTAGTAAGAGTCAGCTTGTGTTGGAGTTCCACGATTATTCAATAGGGACTATACTTGGAAATAATTTCCCCCTACTGGCGGACGAATTCCCCAGGTCACTCTCGCAAATGAGACTAAACTGCTCTCTTGAGTTCTAACCCGGCTAAACAAAAAGTCAACTAGTGCATTATACAGGACTACACAACATTTTATCACACCGAACAGCATGGTGCCCATTGCAGCGCTGAACAGATGGTAATGCCCTGCACAAACTGCAATGTTGTATTAACTGATATGCAGGTTTTCGATTTGTGTTACGAAATGGACACGCTGTACAATAATACAGTGGTCGCCACGGAGACCATGTCAACTTGTACACCACGCCTGGGGCCGAGGGTGTGCCAGGAGCTTGTGAAGGGTGCCTGGGAAAATGGGAGACGTCTATGGTTTAAGGCTCCTATATTAACCAGCACCTGCAGGGTCAACGGTCGTGGGTGTCAGCATGAGAAGGATACCATGGGAAGATTAAAATATACTCCGCGACTAGCGTCAGTGAAACGTCTCTTATTTGTGCCACTTATTATATTGAGCTTCCAATGATCTGCACCCCTGAATACATCCGCGCTTTGCTAGGGAGGATAGAGTTGGCACCTCTTAAGTTACAAAAAATGTAGAAATATCGTGGGATGAACATCTCACAATACCAAAAGACGGGAAAAAATTGAGTTACGTATTCATACACTGGTTCTTTCGGTAAAGTCACACGGAGTATGGGATCCTTGCAGTCACGAAAACTTCATCTAGAATAGTTGCGTATTATTAAGCGACTGAAAAACCAGGAGGATTTGCGCAGTTTCCAGGACGGCTTCCTCACAGAGGACGCGTGGAAACGCTTGCAGAGGAGTAACCCGAAAGTGGCAGCAATGAATAATGTTATCGGCTTAAATTTCAAGATTGTCGTGTGAATAACCGGAGTAATTTTGACAGGTGAACTTGGGAAATAGGATCTGCCAATAGCGTCCCCCTCTCATCATTGCGGATAATAGGCTCTTGCTTGGCTCATACAATTTTATTTATGATTAATCAGCTTCTGGAACCTGCAAATAATAAGTACACTTTAGATTGCCATTTATTAAAAAAAAAGGAAAAAAATACATCTGTGAAGCGTTAGTCATACCCTTTAAGCGTTTTGGTAAAACACTGTCTGTTAAAGAAACTTGCAGTGTTGTTTTCGCTTCAAGGATGCTTTAGCCAAGCTCAATGTCCCTTTGCTGTGGAGTGTTTGTATAATATAATTTTGTGTAAACAAAACAAAGACTGCCGTCAGCACAAACTTTTGCCAGCTTATTGTCCTTCTACATCTTTTAGGAATTAGGGGCTCTGTGTGGGCGCGTTTGCTTGTTCTGCGTGTAGGTTGTTTTTGTAGTCGACAGCTGCGCGGTCGTGTTGTAGCTCCGTCCATATACCGCACCACAATCATTAAGACCCTAGTTCGATCCCTACCCATGATGCACTACACCAGTGGCTGTCGAGGGCAAAGTCAAGGGGTCATCACAGCTAATGCTTGTTGATACCACCACCCCTTACCGTCACATCCTTAATTCTGGCAGATCCCATGGCTGTTGCATAAACCCCACACACGGCTTGCACAGTGTGCTTTTGCAATATGCCACAGTGTGGCGTTAAGGTATTCACCCTAGGTTTTATTGCAGAAGAGTCATATACTGTCTTGGCAGGGAGGGGTGGGGTTGACTGAACTGCCACTTTTTTCAAATTTTCTTGCTGTGGTTTTCACACCTGATGATGATTTGCTTGTGTTGCAGTCGAAACGTCGTGAGAATTTTATTGTTTTATTATTTTATTGTTTCCCTTCTACGTGACTTTACTGAAAGAACCAAGAATATGAATTCCTGCAGTCGCGAAAGCTTTAAATCATAATTTGAACTGCAGCCGTTCACGATAAACCAGCTGCTTTCATGTTTTGGCTCCTGGTCTCACTCAAATTTGTGCCTGGGGCTCGCATGACACCCAATGCTCCCACTATTGATGTGTGCATGCATGCAAGCATGCATGTGCACACATAAAACAGATAGCAAAAAATAACGACACTGCAAAGTTAAAGTCATTTCATTATTTGTTAATTTTCTCGGGCTTTGTAAAAAAATACATTACAAACGTCTGTGTGACTACATTTGAGAATTTGAGCTTTGGTCTTGTAAAACACAGTTTTAGGCTAATGCCAGTCATTGATAAGCTGAAGACAGCTTAATAAAAAAAAATATGCTGTCACTGAGAAGAAAGGAAGCTGTCCATTTGGGCCAGTTGGCCATGTTCACGATTTTTCTGGGTTTGCAGAGAATCTTAAATATTCGTCGTATTAATTGTTCACATAGTGGTGATCAGTATATTGATCCCAGTGAGATGATGGGCTGAGCAACTCCTAACTGATTTAAATACATGATCTTCCCACTGCGAGCCAAGTGCTCTAACCACAACACTATCCGGCAGAAAAGGCAATAAGATGAAAAATAATATGCATAGCAATAAATTACTTATAATAATTCACGTATCTTTTTTTTTTACACTGGTAAGAAACATTCAGCCTTAAGCTGGTCTTACAAGAATGACCTGCAGAGCTAATAAACAACAAATAAACAACAATGCACTACTTAAAGAAGGTCTCCCCATGCCCTGTCATTCATTGGGTGGCTTGACCATACTTCTCCATGCATGTTGGTAAAAGGCTGGTTCAGATGTCACTCGCCAATGATGTTAGCTGTCGCAGGGGCATTGCACTGGTAGCTGGGTCCAAAATCCAGTGTTCTAACTAACACTGCCACTCCTTACAATCCGTGCATCGTTCTCGTAATTATTCCATTTCAAATGAGACAAAAAAAAATAGGAAACAATTAAAATTAGATTGTAAACACATTTTCTGGAGACATTGCGACCCTGAATTGTGATAATTCATTCAAATTCTGGCATTTGGGGATGGATTTGTTACATGTTTACTAACAAACTTTCTGATATGCAATCTACACAAGTTTACAGATTGTATAAATTTAATATTTCCAATGTTCTGATATAGCACATGTTTTAAAGGTTATTGTAATAAATTGACTTTGAGCCTTTAATGTATTTTAGTTACATGTGTTGATTAAACAAGGTTTCGGTTTTAGCTAAACCTCACTGTCAAGGTGTGACCTCGTGAACCAATACCACCGGGAGCCTTAATACCATGAGCACAAGGAACCAACCAGTGTAGAACTTTGAATATTGATTTATTTTTTATTATTATTCTTACAATGTTTGGTTTTGTCTTACCTTCTGTAACGAGCTGTAAATGTAAACATGTACACACGTGTATAACACTTCGACTTAATGTGAACACCGGCGTAGCACATTTTGTTTTGGGCCATAAATCTCGACGCAGACAAATTAGCTCACTCGCAAGTTTGCGCCATAGCTGACAAAGAATGTTTAAAACTTTCAAATAAACATTCGCACGCACGCTTATGTGAATGTACATACACGCGCACACAATGAACATATGCACAGCTGTAATGTCCACTGTCAACGTAAAACAAACCAACCGATAAATTATTGTTGAAAATGGTCAACTTGTAAATGGGGGCCGTTTAAAGTTTTAAAGCAGTTGCGTGAATAAAACCTTATGGCGTTTTCCCCGGGGTACCACAATACCCCGGCTCTCGCATAATGTCCGTGATGCAGCAATTCAATGTCTGTTGATAGTCGGCGATGCGGCAATCGGCTCATCTCGACGAGCTGTACACGATGCACTATTCAAAGTTGAATTTTTCGATAACGGATTTTGTGATGCTGATGTTTGGCGTTTCGTCATCGCGGTGTTGCAATGATTTCGGATCGGATTGGTACCTCAGTCGCGGAGTTAAGTTACACCCCTGGGAAAAATAGTGTCCCAGAAATAAAATATTTAATTGCCTCGGCCAGTTTGTATTATTTGGTACCCCGGGGTTCCGCCATATTGATCAATTGCGCGTTTTATTTGCTGATTTTGTTGGAAGGAAGCGACGGACGGCATTCTCACAGGAGTGTATGTGCGTGTCTGTGTATTCCAGATCGTGAAGACCAATCAATCCTGTGCACGTGAGTAGGAAACCATGCCAATCATTTTCTAATTAATCACGTGCCCTTCACCCCTATCACAAGGGAATGTTGTTGATGCAAGCTGGGTAAATCAACTCCATATGAAAGAAGAAAATAAACAAAGAAAAATATGAAGTCTGTCTCTGCATGTGAGCAGGCATAAAAAATACTATTTTATTTTTAAAATGTTGCCTTTTTAAAGGCAGCTGGCTTTAACAATCAACGCACCTGTCGCTGGACTATTATGTTCAGAAAGCTTTGAAGGTTACCCCCCAGCACCCCACCTTGTATGCATGGATATTCTCCAGACACTCTGGTTTCCTCCCACACGCCAAACACTCATTAATTCAATTGCCCAAACATGTCAAATCAGGACCCTCCTAAACAAAGCTAGAGATACCCGTGAGGCTTTTCTGTGTGAATACTAGTTGATGATTTTATTCGTACTGTTGCTACTTGCTTAATCCTGTGGCAATTCCTGAATTGCCATGTGATCTAAAGTAAGACATTAAAGACCGTGTGTTGCAATTCACGAGAGAGCCTTGGCACTAGTGGAACTGTGGTGATTGCAGAGCAAGCTATGACACATACATGAGGAAGACGAGCTTCATTCCACCTTGCCCCTTTCTATCAGAAAGGTTGTACAATTAGTACATGTTGCACCTGTTGCGTTATTGCATGCACACTTCTAAATTATCCGGTGATGTTTGTGCATTGGTGTTTTTTTCTGTTAAACTTCTAACCCAAAAACCTCTTATGGATGATATTGGTCGTGAAAGCCTACGTGTTAAGCAAACTTAATCTAGTTTGGTATCCTGGAGATTATAGGCAGAATTATTGTGTGCGTCGGAATGTATGTGTGTGTGCGTAACCATGTATGCCAGTGAGCTGTGTCACAGTGGTGAGGGTGTGCTCCTCTTCGATCCCAGCATAATCTGGGTTCCATTCTCTCCTGTGGCACACATCACCAGTGACAGTTGGTTTCATAAAACTATATCCGGGCCTCTGTTCGGTGCGTTTTTGATAATTCTCCACAATTTTGTGTGGGTTTATATTTGGCATGTATTCATTGATGACTTGGCTGAGGCCATCAAAACTCGCTATAGTTTGATCATGGGTAGCTGGTCATCTGCATTTCAGCTTCATAATACAAATCAACTGTCACTTCAATAATGATTAAATAGTTTGTTTTTATCTCACTTCATTTTCAGTTAAATTACACATTGCTTCTTTAGCGCCACCTTGTGTGAGAGCCCGAGGCCCTGTGCATACTCGGCATTGGTTCTTTAAAAATGTGAAAATAATTTAAGGTTATTTCACAGGCTATGAATCTCACCATTTCTCCATTCTTAAATGAGCGACTGGGCCGCACTCATCCCTTTTGGTGGCCCTGAGGCAGCAGTGAAAAAGTACTCAATTTAGCTACTGTGGAAGGATGATTGGCTCGGTCATTCCCAAATGGGATTAGAACTCGCGACCATCAAAATTTTCAATAGTACTTTTACCCAGTCATGTTAAAAGCACCTGGACCTTTTTTTGGGGCATTTAAACAAAGTGTGCTATTTTCTTTAAAGGTTATATTAAAGACCCAATTCTCTACATTTAATCCCAATTCATCATAATTATTATGCTTGTTTACCCAGGAAAACTTCACTGAGTCTCATGACTCTCTCTTTCAGGAGGGTCCTGCCAAGTTTTCACAGTCGGGGCGATTATTGCTACGTGCAGTATATTTAAAATTAATAATTAGAAGTAATTTGGCAAATTTGCACCATGAATTTTGACTATCAATAGTTGACCAATGTCTACTGCCGTCGGAGCTTAAACTAGAGCAATACCTACACATTATTTTTTAAGAAGAACTGTTTCTAAAGATAACAAAGATCCCCTGTATTTCCTTACATATTGCCTTAACAGACTGTTGGGGCAAGCGCCTTTAGCGAGCACCTATTAAGGCTGACATGTTTTACAACGGCCAGTGTGGCGAGCACCAAACCAGGCGCTCTGCCTCCCCAGTGCTGATATTCACACGTCATTGGGTATGCATTTATATTTGAGTTGACTTCGGGGAGACATGGGAAGATTCGTTCATATCATGTTCCACTGATGTTGTGCTTGGCTGAAAATTAATCCCAGTTCACTGGAATCTTAGCACATTGCACAGCCACTCCCCACACTCACACCCACACACCCACACACTCGCATCCACCCACCCACCCTCTCACCCACACACTTGCACACATCATTCTCTCCTGCATGTCCTTGCACGCTTTTTCAGTAGCACAGCCCCTCCCGAGTGCATGCCCTTTGCCTTACATGGGCATATTGTGGGCTCTAAGAATGGGCCCATGCATAATGGTGGGTGGATGAGGGTGGGGGTGCATGCATGCGTGTATATGTGTGCGACGGGGTGGGTGGGGGAATGAATGGGGCTGTGAGCTCAACAGAGGCTCATTCCATTTCCCACTAATAACTTGCAGACGCGGTCTCTTCTGTCGAAGCTTAACTCGCTGTTGTATGGATGAAGGAATAAATAACGCTCGACTTTATGTAAGCATGTGGCTGGGATACAGCTCCGTCAATAGTTCCAAGAACCCCCCCCCAGTCGATACATCACGAGTGCAAATCCCAGCCAGGGTCGACTTGGCCCATGAATTCCTCCTGGGTCCGTAAAATGAGCACAACCCCGTGAGGCTGCACCAGTTAGCAATCAACAACAGTTTTTGTTCGCGAGCACCTATTAAGGTTGCTACTGACTTCGATGTGAAGGTGAGGCCAGACTCCCAATTTCTGAGGGTAACACCAACAATGTGGAAGATACTAAAGCACTAGGATTCTGAAAGTGTCTAAATGCAAGTGCATTTCAAGATGCTGTACTAAATAGAAGGTGATACATGTGCATTGAAATATTTTTTTGAGGGGAAAAGTAATTATGTTAAAAGATGTCTCATTTGCACAGAGGGAGAGAGTGAAATGTGTAATGCAGAAAATGAAAGAAGTCGGTCGCATAGAGTACGTGTGAAGATGCTCCATAAGGAGATACATTTGTAGATAGATAAGGAATCTCTTGAAGGGAATCGGCAGTGCAGTCAACAATAGGAAATATATTCCAGACTGAGCACCAGCAAAGAAGAAGCAACCTCCCATTGAGTGGAGGCAGATTGCCAGCTTTGACAAAATGCTTGGTTGCTGGAGCAAGAGCATCCCAGAGAGTAGTTTGACAGACCCCCTGTTTCGTGACATAAGCGAGTACCTATCAAGGCTACACTGGCATATGAGAAAGTGGTAAGGCCGGAAATTGTTTCAATGGTTGCCATTTTAGGCTGAGTACACCTCGAGCAATTTCAGTGGTCGGCTACAGATATTAGATTCCACTGGCATTGTGCATCACAGCGAGACATCAAATCCAGACAGTTGGAGTCTATCACTATCTTAACCACTAAAAGACAAAGACACCCACTTTAGCCTCAGGCTATATGGTCAAGTTCTGTTGATCCAGGTAATTTAAGTTCAATTCCAGGAAATGCACAACATGTAGCAAGTGGAACCAGAGCCACACCTGGACCTGTCTTAGGTGAACTCTCCTTAAACAAAGGTGTGATGTATAGACATCAGTACTAGGTAGACAAAGATGGCCAGACATGGTCTGCTGGCCATACTTCACTCTTGCATGCCGTGCCAGACTTTGTGCCCTGATTAGAGTTCTAGACTGCAGAGGCAAGTACTGTGTTGGCAAGTACCTATGAAGGTTGGCACAACATTTACAAAGAGGCGTTGGAGTTTTAGCCACACCTGGCTACTTGTGTTTTCCTAGTGCTTATGCTTACATACTAACTTAGAATACATAGTTTAAGCTGAGAAGACCTAGTGAGACCCATGAGAAGTTCAGTTGCCACTGATGTTATCTATGGCCAGGAATCCAACCCAAGTTGCCAGGATCGTTGCGCAGTGGGCTATCTGCCACACCATCGCCAGCATGCATATGTACCCACCACTTCCCACACACAGACAAAGATCTCCCGTATACCCTTAACAGAGTGTCGAGGCAAGTGTGCTTTTACTGAGCACCTTTTAAGGCTTGTATGGCGCATGAGGGGTTGGTGTGGCCACCACCACACACGGCAGACTTTGTCTCCCCAGTACTGATGATGAGAAACTGCATCGGGTACGGATTGAAGACTGAGTTGACCGAGAGGCGGTCCAGAAACAGTTTGGACATTTGTCTCTAATGTTAGCTATGAGCAGGCATTGCACTCGGGTTCACCCGGCTTGTAGCACAGTGCGCTAACCATTACACTCCTGTTTCACATGACACAAACATGTGTTGGGGCAAGGGCGGTTAGGGTGCACACACACTTTTGTTTCCTTGAGTGAGGAAATGAGCTCAGTGTGAGACCTCACAGCAGTGACATTTTCTCTTGCCACATGGCTGTTTTTTTAAAAGCTGATGCAAGCGAGAAATGTCTCCCCGAGCAAGGCAGCATTAGTGGTAATGGATATTTTTCAGGAGAATTGAACGATGTTTATTTTATTCAATGTTCATGTATTTTCATGAAATCATCGTTGATGGAGCTGAAACTATAAAACAAATGATAATTGAGAACCTGGTTTGATCACAGTCCCGCTGGATATGAACACATGATCTCAGTTGTGCATGCTCTGTGCTCTCTAACATGGCCATTGCGATAAGTGAGACCACCGTTCTCGGTTCAGCAATACATATTAAGGTTATCCAAAGCAGAAACTAAATCTTCACTTGTATTGAACCTGAAATATGGAGACCTCGATAGTAATTTATCATCAGCTTATAATCATCATACAGTGAGGTTAGCCTGTAGCCACGTGGCTGACTAATGAGGACTGACTAGGACAAAACATGTAATTTTGGCCTGAGCCAAATGCATTGCAGGTTATTTTATGTGAAGATTGTGGAATATTTTCACGATTGAACTGTCCTGTTTTAAAGTAATATGGATAATACAGTCGAGGAAAAAAATCTG